TTAAACATTCACTCCCCTCATTACTGATAGAATGGCTGTGTGTACTATCTACAAGATGCACTGCAACAACTCACCAAGGCTCTTTCACCAGGTCCTTCCAAACACATAAGCCCTACCAACTAGGAGGACAAAGGCAGCAGATAGATGAAAAGATCACCAATTGGTAATTTCCCATGTTACACAAAATCCTGACTAGGAAGTATGTTGCTGGCCCTTCATTGTTGCAGGGTAAAACCCCAGAACTCCCTGTGCTTGTACCTCCCCTCATGGACCACAGTAGTTCAAGAAGTGGCGAACCTCCATCTTTTCAACAGCAACTGAAGGAGGGCCACAGGAGTTGGAGCAGCCAACAATGTCACTGCAGTGGAGTATAACTGGAGTTTGGTGAAACCGAGTGCTGCATTAGAGAGAGTGTAACTGGAGTTCAATCTCCAATTTAAAAAATAAAACAGATAAACAGAAGTAAAACGATTAGCACTGTGCCAACGTGCTGCCTCACAGTGCCAGGGTCACGGGTTCAATTCCAGCCTTGGCTGACCATTTAGAACATAGAACATAGAACATTGCAGCGCAGTACAGGCCCTTCGGCCCTCGATGTTGCGCTGACCTGTGAAACCAACCTGAAGCCCATCTAACCTAAACTATTCCATTATCATCCATATGTTTATCCAATGACCATTTAAATGCCCTTAAAGTGGGCGAGTCTACTATTTTTGCAGGCAGGGCATTCCACGCCCTTACTACTCTCTGAGTAAAGAACCTACCTCTGACATCTGTCCTATATCTATCACCCCTCAATTTAAAGCTATGCCCCCTCGTGCTAGCCATCACCATCCGAGGAAAAAGGCTCCCATTGTCCACCCTATCTAATCCTCTGATCATCTTGTATGTCTCCATCAAGTCACCTCTTAACCTTCTTCTCTCTAACAAAAACAGCCTCAAAACCCTCAGCCTTTCCTCATAAGACCTTCCCTCCATACCAGGCAACATCCTGGTAAATCTCCTCTGCACCCTTTCCAATGCTTCCACATCCTTCCTATAATGCGGTGACCAGAACTGTACGCGATACTCCAAGTGCGGCCGCACCAGAGTTTTGTACAGCTGCAACATGACCTCATGGCTCTGAAACTCAATCCCTCTACCAATAAAACCTAACATACTGTACGCCTTCTTAACAACGCTATCAACCTGGGTGGCAACTTTCAGTGATCTATGCACATGGACACCGAGATCTTTCTGCTCATCCACACTACCAAGAATCTTACCATTAGCCCAGTACTCTGTATTCCTGTTACTCCTTCCAAAGTGAATCACCTCACACTTTTCCGCATTAAACTCCATTTGCCACCTCTCAGCCCAGCTCTGCAGCTTATCTATGTCCCTCTGTAACCTGCAACATCCTTCCACACTATCCACAACTCCACCGACTTTGGTGTCATCCGCAAATTTACTAACCCATCCTTCTACGCCCTCATCCAGGTCATTTATAAAAATGACAAACAGCAGTGGCCCCAAAACAGATCCTTCAGGTACACCACTAGTAACTGAACTCCAGGATGAACATTTCCCATCAACCACCACCCTCTGTCTTCTTACAGCTAGCCAATTTCTGATCCAAACCGCTAAATCACCCTCAATCCCATGCCTCCGTATTTTCTGCAATAGCCTACCATGGGGAACCTTATCAAACGCTTTACTGAAATCCAAATACACCACATCAACCGCTTTACCCTCATCCACCTGTTTGGTCACCTTCTCGAAGAACTCAATAAGGTTTGTGAGGCACGACCTACCTTTCACAAAACCGTGTTGACTATCCCTAATCAAATTATTCCTTTCTAGATGATTATAAATCCTATCTCTTATAATCCTTTCCAACACTTTACCCACAACCGAAGTAAGGCTCACTGGTCTATAATTACCAGGGTTGTCTCTACTCCCCTTCTTGAACAAGGGGACAACATTTGCTAGTCTCCAGTCTTCTGGCACTATTCCTGAAGACAATGACGACATAAAGATCAAAGCCAAAGGCTCTGCAATCTCCTCTCTAGCTTCCCAGAGAATCCTAGGACAAATCCCATCCGGCAGAGGGGACTTATCTATTTTCACACCTTCCAGAATTGCTAACACCTCCTCCTTATGAACCTCAATCCCGTCTAGTCTAATAGACTGTATCTCAGTATTCTCCTCGACTACATGGTCTTTTTCCTGTGTGAATACTGACGAAAAATATTCATTTAGCACCTCTCCTATCTCTTCGGACTCCACGCACAACTTCCCACTACTGTCCTTGACCGGCCCCAATCTTACTCTAGTCATTCTTTTATTCCTGACATACCTATAGAAAGCTTTAGGGTTTTCCTTGATCCTACCTGCTAAAGACTTCTCATGTCCCCTCCTGGCTCTTTATGTGGGGTTTGCACATCCCCTCCATGTCTGTGTGGGTTTCTGCCATGTCTGCTCTTGTTTCCTCCCACAGTACAAAGATGTGCAAGTTTACTGAATTGGCTATGCTAAATTGCCCCGTAGTGACCAGAGATGAGCAGGCTAGGCAGATTAGATGTGGTAAATGCAGGGTTACAAGGTAGGTGGGGGCCTGGTGCGATGCTTTTCAAACAGTTGGTGCAGACTTGATGGGATGAATGGCCTCGATGTAGAGATTCTATGAGTTTGGTAGAACATGGAGTGCTGCTTTGTTGCATTAGGGAGTAACTTGATAGTTGGTGAAACAAGAAGTGAGGTGAAAGAAGAAATTGGTCATCAGTCCCTCCCTCCATTGGGGAGTACTTGCGCTATGCAAAATCCAAGTAAAGTCTTAGGGAATTTGGGGCATAAGGGGAAGAGACGGGGAGACAGACAGACAGGAGGGAGAAAAAACAGACAGAGACAGACAGCAAGAGAGAGGGAGGAAGCACAGAGACAGTAGAAAGAAAGAGAGAAAGAAAGGAGGGGGGGCAAGGACAGAGAGAGAGGGAGGAGGGAGGGGGAAGGAGAGAGAGTGGGGAAGCAGGGGAGGCAGAGAGCGAGCGTGCAAGCAATGGAGCGAACAAGGTGGAACAGAAAGCAAGCAAGAAAGAAAGAGTGAGAAATGTTGACAGCGAGACGGGGCTATGGATTGAGAGTGAGGCAGACGGGGGGGAAGGAAGCGAGAGAGAGCGCACGCAAGAGAGTGAGAGAGAAAGAGCGTAAGTGAGATCAAAGAGAGCAACAAGAGTGAGAGAGGCTGTGAGCAAGTGAGAGAGCATGATAGAGGAGAGCATAACAGAGCAAGATGGAATGAGAGGGCGACGGAGAGGACAGCAGCCACGAGGAGGGAGGAGGAGGACGGGACAGGTGGTGACACGGAGGTGGAGGAGCAGAAAAAGGTGGGGGGGGGGGCGAAGAGAGAGAGAGGATAGTTAGTGGGAGTGAAAGAGAGAGAGCAAGAGATAGAGAGGGAGACAGAGAACGAGAGACAGAACGATAGTTACAAAGAGCGAGCAAGGAGAGAGCGAGTTGGGGAGCGAGCGCGAGAGCACGAAACAGAGAGAGTGATCCTTGCCCACTCAGTGGCAGAGCAGTAAAATGTGCTCGTAACTGCTTGTAATTCATGCAACAGGACAGAAGGACAGGATTCATTCTCACTCACCACAATGCACTTCCAAGTTTCTACAATGGCAACAGAAACTTTGTGTTAAACAGTATTACTGCAGCCAAAACAAATTGGTACATAGCCAAACAACTTATTTCAAGATAAAACACTAAAATGTTCTGAGGTCTTCTGACATGAGTCATTGTTTCTGAATGTTCAGGTCTCAAAAACACAAAAAAAATAACAATTTTTTTTCAAAGACTGTAGGAGATTTGCTATAGCAAGGCTCCAGACTCTATAAAAATGTAATTAGAATTCTACCCATGCAAAGAACTAAATTCAAATTGACTACAAATATTTTCAGATTAACTCAATTTTGAAACTGTCAGCTCCATCACATTACATAATTGTGTTTTGGCTATAATTATTCAGGTTTTACTTTAATACCCATAAAATTGCAACTACCTAGTGTGTAAAAAATTGCATTCAATCATGACATTTTGTAGATTATGCTGCAGAATACTATCGCCATTAATACTTGTATTAAGCAGAAAAGCACAGTAAATGATTAGCATTCTACTTATGCAAAGTGGAAGTGTTAAGATTATAATCTAAGTAGCAATCTCAGAACCACACACCCCAGTCTCCTCGCACCTCCAATTCTATACAGTGCCCAAGCTCCCAGCAGAAGAAAATCATCTTTTTAGATACTATTAACCATCACAAGGCAGCTCCAAGTGATACAAGCTTCTGATGTAGCATAACGAGCTTACAATTTTCACTCCCTCAGGAGAAATCATTTCACCGAAATATCTTTTCTGCGATAAACACCACTTCGGGAATCACAGACAAATAAATGTCGTCCACTATCACATGTGTGCATGTCATAGGACATCAAAATATAATTCTTTAAATTGACAAAATATGTCAAATAAAATGTTTCAATACTACTTGCACATCAATGCCAAGATTCAAATCAACTGTAATTTTGCTAACAGCTTTATTTCTACAGCAATTGCATAGCATCTTTCGTGTTTACATGTCCATTTGTTCAGGCAGTAGAATGAGCTTGATGCATTATGTGCATTTGCATACTAACATTTCCTGTCAGACAAGCTGAAATTCTTTTTGTACAATATGAATCAGCATGCTGGCATACAAATACAAAAATAATGGCCATAACAGAACACATCAGACTGCAGTAGATTAAATTTATCATTTGCACTGAAATGTTGGGAGCATTGTGAGAGGACTGCAGTACCAATTTACATTCTATGAGGATTTTCTACTTCTCTCCAAAGCATGCTAAAAATAGACACTGCTTCAAAAGACTATGTTTGTTCTTACATGATCTACAATTTCTACAAATCTTTGTCAGATTTAAACAAATTGTTTCAGTTACCATATAAACAAAAGGTTTAAGACTCACAGCAACTGAATCCTCCACATGGTCCAGCTCCAAAACATGGCTCCCGAAAGGTTATCTTTACGTGCAAAATACTTCCAGTCAAAATTAACTTGAAGTGCTGTCTCATTGTATTGTATAACATTCAGTTGTTAATAAAAAGGAAAAAACTGAAAACAATTTATTAAGAAAATTGTTAATCGTGCCATTATCTGAATAAGAGTTAGTTAAGATGTTAGCATCAGCCTCTTAGATGAAGAAAAAATTACAACATCACTGTGTAAACATCACTAAGACCTCCTCAATAGCTTAACAGGTAAACAAGTAGGTAAAATGAAGAGACAGAGGGAGACAGAGAGAAGCAAGCAAAGGGGCAAGGCGAGAGAGGGAAGGAGGGAGGATACAGAGTGGGAGGTGGGAGAGAGGCAGACAGCACGCGTGGGCAGACAGGAAGGGAAGCAGAAGCGAGCACATATGCAGGCAGAGGGGGAAGAGAGGAAAAGAAAGCGTGTGGGTGAGTGTGGGGCGGAGGGGGGAAGAGAGAGAGAGAGAGAGAGAGAAAGAAAGAAAGAAAGGAGAAAAAAGAAATTAGGCAAGAGGTGGGGAGAACAAGGGAGCATACAAGCAAGGGAAGAAAACAGGGAGACAGGGAGTGATGTCACACATTCTGCCATCCCTTGCTCTCCATAAAATCGGTCAGACGTGGGAAATACTCGCTGGCAATCCTGCAATGTTCAGCACAATTTCCAACTCCTCAGACACTGAAGCATTCCATGTCCAAATCCAGCATAACCCGGATGATATCCAGGTTAAGAGTGAACAACAAAGAACAAAGCAAATTACAGCACAGGAACAGGCCCTTCGGCCCTCCAAGCCTGCGCTGATCCAGATCCTTTATCTAAACCTGTCACCTATTTTCCAAGGATCTATATCCCTCTGCTCCCTGCCCATTCGTGTATCTGTCTAGATACATCTTAAATGATGCTATCGTGCCCGCCTCTACCACCTCCGCTGGCAACGCGTTCCAGGCACCCACCACCCTCTGCTAAAAGAACTTTCCATGCATATCTCCCTTAAAAACTTTTCCCTTCTCACCGTGAAATCGTGACCCCTAGTAACTGAGTCCCCACTCTAGGAAAAAGCTTCTTGCTATCCACCCTGTCTATACCTCTCATGATTTTGTAGACCTCAATCAGGTCCCCCCTCAACCTCCTTCTTTCTAACGTAAATAATCCTAATCTACACAACTGCGCCCTCTATACCAGGCAACATCCTGGTGAACCCCCTCTGCACCCTCTCCAAAGCATCCACATCCTTTTGGTAATGTGGCAAACAGAACTGTACGCAGTATTCCAAATGTGGTCGAACCAAAGTCCTATACAACTGTAACATGACCTGCCAACTCTTGTACTCAATACCCTGTCCGATGAATGAAAGCATGCCGTAGGCCTTCTTGACCACTCTATCCACCTGCATTGCCACCTTCAGGGTATAATGGACCTGAACACCCAGATCTCTCTGTGCATCAATTTTCCCCAGGGCTTTTCCATTTACCGTTTATGTTCGCTCTTGAATTGGATCTTCCAAAATGCATCACCTCGCATTTGCCTGGATTGAACTCCATCTGCCATTTCTCCGCCCAACTCTCCAATCTATCTATATTCTGCTGCATTCTCCGACAGTCCCCTTCACTATCTGCTACTCCACCAATCTTAGTGTCATCTGCAACCTTGTTAATCAGACCATTTATACCTTCCTCCAGATCATTTATGTATGTCACAAACAACAGTGATCCCAACACGGATCCCTGTGGAACACCACTGGTCACAGTTCTCCATTTTGAGAAACTCCCTTCCACTACAACTCTGTCTCCTGTTGCCCAGCCAGTTCTCTATCCATCTAGCTAGTACACCCTGGACCCCATGCGACTTCACCCCATGTGACAATAGCAACTGACTTTCATGCAATGACCATCTCCAACAAGAGGAAATCTAACCATCATCCCTGGACTTTCAATGCATTTCTTCTGAAACCCCACTATGAACATCCTGAGATTACCATTGACCAGAATCTCAACTAGCCATATAAATACTGTGGCTACAAAACAGGTTAGAGGCAAGAATTCTACACAAAGTAACTTAACTCCTGATTCCCTAAAGCCTGTTCACCATCTACGTGGCACAAGTCAGGAATGTGATGGAATATTCTCCATTTGCCTCAACGGGTGCAGTTCCAACAATAGTCAATAAGCTTGACACCATCCAGGACAAAGCAGCCCACTTGATTGGCACCACATCTAAAGCAGCAATGTGTACCATCTAAAAGAGCACTACAGAAATTCACCAAAGGTTACTGAGACAACACCTTCCAAACCTATGACCATCCAAAAGAAAAAAGGGAAGCAGATACCTGGGAACTCCCCTCCAAAGCATTTACCAACCTGGCTTCAAAATTTACCGTTGCCCCTTCAATGTGCTGAGTTAAAATCCTACAACCTCTACCTCGCAGTACTATGCATCTACCTACAGAAAATGTACTATAAATGGTTCAAGAAGGCAGCTTACCACCACTTTCTCAAGAAAGTCTTAGGACATAAAATAAACAGTGCCTCCGTCAGCATGCCCATATGTAACGAATGAATTAAATAGCAAAAAGACCAAGCCAAGAGAGCAATGTGGACAGCAGGGAAAGGGGCAGAGAGAAAGCCAGGGTGAAGTGGCAAAGAGAGACGGGCAAAAAGAATGATGCTGAGAGCACAAGTGAGAAAAGGTGAAGGAAGACGGAGAGAAAACAGGGAGACAGTTGGGAATGAAGTGGGGAGAGAGTGAGTGATCAAGAGAGCATGAGCAAGTGACAGACAGGAGAGGTGGGGCCAGGGAAAAGGGAAAATAAAAATGGGAAAGGAGGTGGAGAGCGAGAGCGAGAGAGAAATAAAGAGAGCGAGCGAGCAAGCGATTGGGGGGGGGAGGAGAGAGAGAGAGAGAGAGAGAGAGAGAGAGAGAGAGAGAGAGAGA